CTTTAGTTCGCAATTTGGAATATTTTACTCCCCAATCATTTAACTTATATAATAATATATTAGTACAACAATTAATATAATATATATTAGTACAACAATTAATAGTAAAATTTATATAAAATAAAACTTACTTCTGCAATATGTTCATCCAAATTAGCTTTATAAAAATTTGATAATGCTATAAATTCTATATCATTTAAAGTATAATCTAATTTAGGTGCCCAAAGTTCTTCTTCACCATTTTCAATCCAGACAACTTGTTGAGGATAATACTGCTTAGTTGGATTTAAAGGACAAATTTTTGTATATATAGTTGGCACAAATCGAAGATGATAAAACTGATCTAGCAGTAAAACATTATTCATTAAATTCTTATATGGGTGCAGACTAGATTGAACCATCGGTTGTAGCATTCCACATAACCGTTCTATTGGATATTGCCAATATACCCAGCATGGCCCACAATTTTCGATACAGGCTTGTATATGAAGCAAATAATGAAAAGTAATTCAAAATGCTGGTAAATGCTTTATATCTTTGCCAATATATAGTTTAATATATTATAGATTAAAGTAATAAATAGTTAATTTTAACAAAATAAAAATTGATATTTGCACACCTATGCTAAATTTTGCTATATTATATTATTCATTATAAAGTATATTACTATAAAATTTAAAGATTAGTTATCTACAAAACTATTATAATAAAAAATTAATTATATATAGTTTACTAAATTAAAGCTATTTAAATTTGAAAATTCATTTAATATTCTTTTCTCTTCTTGAGTAGCTGTACTTTAAATTAAACAAGCAAATTACAATATTGTTTAAAATTCGCTCCTTTTTCTTTTTAAACCCGAATTTAAAAAAAATTAATTGAATTTTCAAATTCAATAGCTTAAATATATTTAAAAATACCTTTTATCATGAAAATGTTGTATTAAAGGTATCGAATATAAGCAAGTCCAATTTACCCAATCCTCTGCTTTAAATGCATTTGAATGTTTAGCAATATCTAATGAAGGTCGACCAAATTCTGTTGGCATTGCTTTTTTGTTTGTTTCCATTATACATCCAATATTTTTCTAAACATTTTTAGACAAAATTTGCGGATTACTATCAGGATTATTTAAAGCTTTGTCAGAGTAAAATGTTCCAGACCAGTGTTTGTACATTTGCATTGCGGCAACTTCAAAAACTAAGTGCATTATATCTAATGGAAAAGAAGCAGGAAATTGTACAGCCTTTAATTGAAACAAAATACTTTCTCCAGTTACACCTAAATAAATAATTGTATAAAATATTAAATACTTAAATAAAAAATTAAAATAAATATACTTGACCTTTGTTAATATCAACCTATTTGGGTCACTCTTATATTCATATTGATAGTGATATTAATAAGGAATTATAGTAAAGTTAATATATATGCAAGAATTTTAATATATAAAAATTTATAAAAATTTGTCTTGTAGTTTAGGTTGATATTAATATAGGTTGATATTAATAAGGGTCAAGCATATTATCTTATTTAGAGAATTCTTAAGCAACTTTTTTAATATTAATTTATTGTACTCAAAAATCAGTTATTTTTTAATAAAAAAATTTAAAATATACCTGTTTCTTGTTGAATTTTTTTTTTTATCAGATGCATTTTTCCAAATTTTAACTTTGTCTAAATAAGATTTATGATTACGTAAAGGAAGATTCTTTGTATTGTATGATTCTTCACCTTCTTTTGTAGAATGCTTCAAAGGATAGTATACATGATTTACACCTGTATCTGAATCAAATACTCCTTTTATATCACAAAATCGGCAACCCATATATCCATTATGTCCTGTTACATATATTAGCTTGCTAATTGCTGGTATATCTCCACACCATATTGGAACAAAAACATGTAAAACAAAATATACTTGTTTCCAACCATCCCAACATATTATATCATCTAAATACCAAAATTATAAAATAGTTATAAATTAATAATTAAAATTAAATTTATTTAATATTTAATGTCGAGAATAATGCTGAAATCGGATGATGCTAAAATTTGAGGCCTTAATTTGAATATATAAACTCTACTAAAATCTACCTATACTCTTTTATTATAAACACTAACCCTAAATTCTAATAAAACTATGAAAAAAAAGCTGAACAAAATATCCCCAAAAAATTTTACATTTTCATAATAAAATAAGTCAAAATTTCAGCATCATCCGATTTCAGCATCATCCTGACATTTAATATTTAATATAAGTACCTTCAAGTTGCTTTAACTCATTAATAATAGGCTGCATAAAGCTATTAAAGTTGTTTGGACATTTAGGGCCAGGAATTATTGCTGCAACTAATAAATTTTCTCGCTTAACACGATCCTCTGGTGGAATATTATTATTAATAAACATAATTATCCAATTATCATCACATTGTTGTCGAAATATTTGATACCCATCTAAGCTTCCAGTAAGTATTATATCTCGCTCATCTTTGATTAAATGCTTATTTAATAATCTTTTGTATAATTGACTATCATAAATATCTCCAAATTTGTTAGTCTTAAGCATATAATTTGATCGATATCTAAATATTTTTGATTGTTCAGAACTTGCATATTGAAATTTTAATCGAGAGGTTATGGATAATAAGCAGCTACTTTGTAAGCAATATCTTTTTTTTGAAATCGGTTAGACAAACAAATAGGGCATTGTGTTGCTTCTGCATATTCTCCAGTAAAAGCTATACATGAATTGATACATATATTAACAAATAATATATCGATATTAACTAGATTTTGAAGAATCTGCTTTGTTGAATATAAGGTAGGGCCGTAACAATCAAAAATTCGTAAAGTTTCTTCAAAATCATTATTTGATATATAAGTATTTTTTGCTTTTAAGTATAATAGTCGTAGTGCTTTAAATGCGTTTGGTGATTTTGCTATAATTAAATTAAAATAAATAGTATTAAATTAAATTTAAATAAATAGTATTAAAAATTTTATTTACAAAATAACTTTAAATGTTTATTATATTAATTATATAGTTTGTTTAAACTTAATTTATATTTATATACAAATTATTAATTGGTGATTCGCCACTCAACCAGAAAGAGCTCATAGTGTAACGTGACGCGGTTTACATATAGAAATTAGGGTTTTTGGAATGTGAGCTGCTTCTATCTAAAACTTTTTTTCATGTTAAGTTAATCACCTTTGGGCCTCTAATTGAAGTTGTCGAGACGAATCTAATGGTGGTTGAATCGTTAAAATCAGCCTTGTGGATCATGAGATATCTTCAAAAAATTTTTCACCGACTATGTAAACTTCTCTTTCAATAATACTATTGTTGAAAGAGAAGTTTACATAGTCGGCAAAACATTTTTGAAGATATCTCATGATCCACAAGCCCAATTTTAATGATTCAACCACCATTAGATTCGTCTTGATGAGCTCTATAACTTCAATTAGAGGCCCAAAGGTGATTAACTTAGCATGAAAAAAGTTTTAGATAGAAGCAGCTCACATTCCAAAAACCCTAATTTCTATATGTAAACTGCGTCACATTACACTATGAGCTCTCTCTGGTTGAGTGGCGAATCACCAATTAATTTAATATTTAATTACCTTCAATATCTTTAATATATTGAACTAATTTATCATGTTCTTTTTGAATATTATTTTTTATTACATTTCTATTAAAAGTTTCTTTGCTATTCATTAATTCTAATTCACTATTGCTCTGGTTCCTCATACTCTTCAAAATTTTTATATAATTCCATTTTTTTATCTTGCTTTAATTTGTTATCTAGATTATTTTTTGATTTGCATGTTCTTTTTTTTCTATGATAGGTTTTTCCAATAATAATGCCATTTTTATCATATAAGCATTTTTCAGCCTTTTCATGCTGGTATTTAATTCGTTTATGAAGTTTTCGGCCTTGTGAATTAATTATTAGGCAGGCTTTACATTTGCAAATTACTTTTTCATTTTTATATGGGTTTGTCATAACTAAATGAATAAGTAATATATTGATATGATTATAAAATTTAGATTGTATAATTAATTAATAGAATATCTGTTAAATACGTAGCAAAATTAAAGTCAATATTAACTTATTTGTACTATAACGAGAATATAAATTTCTAAAAAAAAAATAGCCAATCAGAGAATGCATCTAGATTTTTTATTTTTTACGTTTGATTTGTTTATTTACAAAATTAAATTTCTTTTTTGGGTTGTATACTACCATATATATTGCTAATAACCTACCTATATAAATAGTTTAAACAATAAGTGATCTACACAATATTCTCTTTTATTTTTCGTGTTATTGTTTACAATGACAACTTCTATTTCTTACTCGTATTTATCTCAAAAAATTACAGACTGTGAACTCCCATCTACAGAAACTTTAAATACATTTTCAAAAACTCAACAAATAGAAATTTTAAAATTATGCTACGATGCACAAAAAAGATTGCTTAATAAACTACTTGAAGAAAAAAAAAATAGAACAGACTAATATCGAAATTCCAGTTATACAACTACCTAAAAGAAACAAAAACCAATCATCTAAGTTAAAATTATGGGAGCTTTGTTCTTGGTTGTCAAAAGATTATTTTACAAAAATTAAAGCTGATTTTACACCACATCTTGAAGCAAATCAAATTACGGAGCTAACAACATGGTCACAGTTAGGACATTTAGCTAGAGAAAGTTGGGTTGAATGATGTAAGTTAATTATATTTTAAAAAGTACGATTAAATTAATTTTAGTTTACTGTTTTTAAATTTAATATTTATATATTTTTAGGTATATACTAAGCATAGACTTCAAATTGGTTCCAATAAATAGATTGTACAGGAATGTTTAAAGCAAAAATTAAATGATAGAGGTAAAATAATAATATTAAATTAGTTAATTATGCATTTTTTTTAAAATATAAAATTTTTTATATTATTAATAGCTGATAATTTCAGAAAAAGAGCTAAAAAAAAAGGCCTCAACATTACCAAACAGAATATACAAGTTGCAAATAGTGATAATGAGCCAGAAGTAGTGCAACAATTAAATAGTAATAATGAGCCAGAAGTAGTGTAACAATCAACTAGCATTTTAAAGAGATATACAATGATGAACAAAGAAAATATTGATTTAACTTTCGGATCTAGTAACGAATTCCAAGAAATGGATCAAAAAATACATTTAAGTAGTAAATATATATTTTATTTTATATTGATTATTATTTGACTTTGTTTTATTAATAGTTAAGTTATTGTTAATTAGGTGATAATGAAGATTCGGAATTTTTTGGTAGCAATTTTTATGAAAATTGTGACGGTTCTACCTCTGATAGTTATGCAACATCCTCTTCTAGTAATAATCTCGCTCCAGTGTCCAACAGACATATTACCTCTTCTACTAGCAATTATGCTACCCAGCTTCTGGCAGTTATATTGATCCTACTTCAGATAGTAATAATGAGATATGTGAAAACATTTTACCACAAAATCTTAAAGGTACATATCATATAGTTATTAGAATTAGTGTTTAATTCAATAATTTAATTAAATTTGGCTTTATTTATAGATACCTTAAAACAAAACTCACCTATTGAGCGAATTACTGATAGAATAAGCAGCTGAACACGACAAAAAAATGATATCAATTCTAAGAAATATGATCAAAGATTAAAAGGTTCCTTATCAAAATGGGTCTGAAAAGAGGAGACTCAATTTCAATTATCACCAACTAGTAAAAAAAGGATGGGAAATTCAAAGGCTAAATCGGTGGTAAACTAGAATAGGAATAAATTAGAAAATTCTTTTAAAAAAAATATTGTATATTTTTTTTAATATACACGTATATATATTAATATATACATTTAATGTATAATATTAATAAAGATTAATTGTGTAGAAAATATAGTAATCATCGTTGAATAAAAATTTTAAAGTATACTTGCAATAAACGTATAATTATTTATAATGTATTAATTAAAAAAAAGGATATATATTATAGAAGGTTGCTAATTTACGTGTTACTACTTACTGAATAAGGTTCGTTAATTTACGTATTTGAATAAGGTTCGTTAATTTACGTATTTGAATAAGGTTCGTTAATTTACGTATTTGAATAAGGTTCGTTAATTTCATGTTTGAATAAGGTTCGTTAATTTACGTGTCATCATCCATCAAAGAAGGTTCGTTACTTTACGTGCAATTACCCGTACCAAAACCCGTAAGTTTTGGTTTAGTAAAGTGCAGCAAAACCCGGTCCATTTACGGTCCAAAATGTCCGGGTAAACGGTCCAATTCAGACCAATTCAACGTGCCAACACGGATCACAGACGTACAGACCCGAACATCCGATCGTTCCACACTTGCCCGTGTCTTTCCGTAGAAACACGTGCATACACGGACCACTTTTTTCATAGGGGGGCTATTTAATTGTTTTGTAAGAAACAAAACCACTATCATTAGTCTAGGATAAATATTTAGGCGCATTGCAAAGATAAACAAGCGGACAGATTTAAATGACTGTAAAACTTGAATTAAATTGTATAAATGAATAAATCAAAGAATATACAAAATCTACTCAACTAATATAAATTTAAAATTTTACAGTTCGTAATATTCAAGGTTCGTTGTAAAAAAGTTATAGCAAGCTTCGGCTATAATAAATGAATCTGCATTCATGAACCAAATTGACACAAATAAAATAATTAGAGCGAAGCTAAAAAGATTGCAGAGTTCTATCATTTACTTATGAGTTAAATAACAGGAAAAATCAATGTGCCCAAATTAGTGATGTGTGACGCAACTCACGTGACCTGACGCAACTGCTCACGTGACCCTTAAAAACATATGTTTGAGTTGCGTCATGCGCCATGCGTCAGTGACGCAACATATGGTTTCGTCAAGTTGCGTCATGGTTTCGTCAGGTCTCATCAGTTGCGTCACACATCACTAGCCCAAATATAGCTCACTCTTGTTATAGTAAACTCTCGATATGGTAACATTCGATATAGAGAAGAATTTAAATTATGGAATTATTAAACTTCAACTAGATATAGTAAAGTATATATTCTTTCTATATAAGCTATAGTGAAGATTTCGTTCCTCAGTCGAAATCCGCCGAAAGCGATGTTGGTGGAAGCTCTTAAGTGGTCAATTTGACTCTATAATGTCATTTAATATGCTGTTCTATGGGGTCTGTAAAAAAATGGAAGAGTGAGTTCGATAATCTATAAGAAAGTTGTTTGTATACGTGTAAAGTAATTGTGCTTTATTAAAAACCATTTTTGAAAAACATACCCGGCTTTTCCTGGAAAATAAAATTTATAGTTACTTACGTGCAATCCTGTTAATTTTCTAATTTTAATGAAATGCAGGATATTATAAGCCGCATATAATATTACCACGATTTAATTTTACGTGGAAATTTTCAGATTTTACAAAGATAACTAGGAAAGATGAGAATTTCTCAAATGATAATCTGGAAAAGTCCGGTACGTACATACATACATACTGTATGTTTTTTTCAAAAAATTTTTTATAGAGATATGATAATACAATCTGTTCCTAGTATACCAAATATATTACACAATCATCATATCAAGATATACCTGGGTTTTAGGTATGCAACGGAAACTTCCACTTATATCTGATATTATTACTATTAAAACCTCAAAATATATAGGCTAAATTGATCAATCACATGAAAACAAATATTACCTTATGGTTGGCTATATCTTCTAGCACATGAGAAGTAACTAATTAAATTTAATAAGTTCACGTTCATGATGCATAATCTAATAATAAACTTTCGAACAATTTTCTCTATTTTAAGATTTTTTTCGAGATTTGAATTTTTTTTGTATAAGCTTAGATCAAACCGTCGTTCTTTATTTTAAAAAGCTTATTTAACTACTTTTTCAATAAACTGCTTTTAGCATAACAGATTTGAGGAATTTACATATAAGGGCCCGACAATGAAAATAATTACAAGTAAGGCCAAATTTGGAAATAATTAAATATACGGGTCCAAATTTGAAAAATATTACAATTAAGGGTCAAAATAACTTTACGTTATGACGATAGTGGTTCTTTGAACGTTTCACTGTAAATATGTGTTACCTTATTCATTTTATACTATATTCTATTTCGCCTAATAAAACTTTCTTTTAACCAAGATACGGTTCAATGAGGTTAAGCACGATATTTATCAATATTTTAATAATTTATTCGGTATTAAACTGAAAGTCTATCCTATACCAAGACTAATTATGAAACATGAATCACATTTCTTAAAGGTTACTGCGCGTTAATCGAAGATATTTCGAATCAAATAAACTTATTGTATTCATAGAGAAAGATTATTTTTAGAAGTTGGCAAAAATAGTCCAATTTTTATATGCAAGACGCTAAGAAAATAAATGCAACACTGATTAAAAAGTAATACGTTTTAACTATTGAAAGAAATTACATCTATATAATATTAAATGTTAAAACCTTGCAATCTATGATAATTAGATAGGATAAATTTGGATCTTGAGTGTAATATTTTTCAAAATTCGGGCCCTTATATATAACCATTTTCACTGTGGGCTCCTATATTTAATTGTTTTCATTTTTGGGCCCTTATATGTAAATCCCCTATAAATTTCTGGTTCGTTGATATTAGAAAGATTTTAATTTAAAAGGATTACTAGAACTATTAGCATCACTCATTTTGTGATCCTATATATAGAAATTATAATTAATAAAATTTTATTCTCGATATCTCCGTTGAACAATAAAAGAAATATAAACGACGAAGAAGTTGCGAATCGCGCGATCTTATATAATAAATAATATGATCATTAATTCGTTTTTATTTGCCTAGGTTAAATCTGTTTCTAAGTGAGATATACTTAGATGGAGTGAATCTCAGAGATACATGAGGTATACTTAGATGGAGTGAATCTTGAAGATACTTAAGATATTTAAAAGTGTCTAAATTAATGCGTGGAAAGGGCAGAGCGCACATTAAAAACTTTTCCGTATCTTGAACAATATGTTAAAGATGTTAAATAGTTAGGTGGAACTATCTTAACTCAGTTCGGAACTCAAACATTATTGTTTAAGTCAAAACCTATTTTGAACTAAATGCTCATATGAACTAATGTGTAACTGCAAAAAAAACATCTCACACATAAAAGGACTTTTAATTTTTATATCAAAATGCTTGATGATTAGCTGAAGCAGTTTGTTAACTATATAGTTTACTAAACTGTTTGTATAAATTCTATAAACAATTTTATGCAACTTTATCTGCAAGTTTGTACATAACTGTAGCGTATTTTAACGAGCTAGAGTCCCTACAATATGTGCATATGTTTTAAAATTATGGCCAAAATGCGTAAATTTCAAATTTCAAATTTACATGTAAGTTTTGATGTACGTTATATTTATTATGCAGCTAACTAATTAACGTTAATGATCAAAATAATGAAACTAAATTAATATCTTTAACATTAATATTTAACACTATTTAATTTTGGGCGGGCTAATATTTCTATAAGGGATGTATGATGCTGTGATACTTTACCATGTATGTATTGTATTGTATTCTATGGTTTGTGTTGCGGGCAGTGCATCGATCGACTGAGAAAATTTCCTCGCAATTTCAGAAAAGGAAATTCTCATCTGTCATTTTTTATAATATATAGTATGCTATAGCTACTAGCTACTAGCTATAGCTATAGCTAGTGGCTATGGTTATGGCTATAGCTATAGCTACTAGCTACCGAAAAAAAAAAAAAAAAAAAAAAAAAAATGCTTTCTAAAAAAAAAATATATTATTCGATAGGTAAAAAAGCATCATTTAAACGTCTTATGCTGATTTCAACCAGGATTGATATATACGTGTTTCTATGTTTTTAAAATATTTTGGATTTTTTTCTTCGAATTTCTTGCTGGCATGATGGATTGATAATCACTGATCGTCAAAGACTAAAACGAAGACCATGTGTAGCGATAGCGAAGGATTTGTCAATCATTTCTAAAAATATATCAAATTTCCATTTCTATAACATTATCACAAGCTGGTGTATACAACACATGTGCATACATAATGCGTATATTAAAACGAGACTTAAAATTCTGAAAAAGTGTCACAATTCTTGATTGTGTGCCAGGCTTGTGGCGCAGACAAAGTCTTTAAAGTTTATATTAAATATGTTGAGGTTAAGCGTCTATATTAGACAATATAGAGGTATGTAGTAAAATTGCGCAATAAAACTTTTTGTTAGAGCACTAAAGGTGGTTTCTTACGCAGGTTTTCGGAAAATCAATGATTTTTGATAAAACGAACGTTTGTTTTAAATTTTTCTGGTCATGTTGCTTCACATCTAATCTTGAGATCTGATTTGTAATTCCGGAGATTTGCGCCACAAACCTGGCACATATTCAAGGAGTGCATAACAATCATCTAAACTAGCCTCGTCTGTACTTATGAATAACAATACCCGAATTTCATAGTTAAAAAACACAACCAAAAACAAAGGCTACTCGAAATAAAGCATGGAAGCTTGGTCCGAGAACCAAGTATCCTACTGCCACTAGGACCCCGGTTACATGATTGTTTGTTAACCGTAGTCAGGTAAGAATTTGGATTATGAAAGTTGTAATGTTTGACATAAAATATTTATTTCATCCCAAATTTGTCATTAGCAGAGCTACAGGAATCCAAGGTTATTACTAGAAAGTTAGGTGGGCATACTGAAAAGTCAGCGTGCTTTTATGAGTGTAGTCTACTC